AAAAAAAAAAAAAAAAAAAGGAAAAAAAAAAAAAAAAAAAAGAAATATTACTGTTTTGTTTATGAGGTGCTGCTCCCAGATCTTGCCTCAGTGTATATGATATATATACCACATTACTTTTCTAAAATGTATGAAATACATCAGGTTGCAAGGATTTCATATTAGGGATTACAGACCTTTATTGTATAACAACAATAGACGTATTGCCTACCAGAGCAAAATCTGTTCCCTTACAGGCATCTCACGATGTGAATCTTGGAGTCACAAAACATTGTATTTGGAAAGGCCCTTAGAGATCATTGCCAGCCTCTTTTACTGTACAAATGAAATAACGATGTGCCTTGCCTGAGGGCACAAAATCCTCAGCTAACTGATTACAGAAAGTCATTACCAGTTTTCCCAGTGAGGGTGTCGGGAGAGGGACAAGAACTAGTTCCAGAGTGTTTCTCATCCACTTTGTTCCCATTTTCTCCTCATTTTATCTTTCTTTAGCATTTATCAGAAGGAACCCTTGTGCTGTCTCCCAAAGGCAATACATGGGGGCTGTGGTATTGGGAAGGAAAGGTGAGGAATATCATTGGATAAGTTGTAGATGCCAAGGACTCCCTTCACATGGAAATCATGGTGTTCTCAGGATGGGGCTGCTGTGTAAATTTATTTCGGTTGCATATAGCAACCTCTTAGGAATGAACCTAATATTATAGGTTCTGAGAGGTATTTCAAGGTGAGGAAGGTAGGGACAGATAAATAGACGTTGACAATTGTGGTTCTTGCACTTATTCACCCTTGGCTTATTTTATCCCTAGGGTGCAAATAGCTATGGGCAACTTGGCCTTGGCCATAAGGAAGATGTGCTTTTGCCCCAGCGACTGAATGATTTCTGTAAACCTGAGTGTGTCAGGAGTATCACAGGAGGAGGGGGCCACTCTGCAATTGTCACAGGTAACTTCCCTCAAAAGTAGACAGCCACTTATTTTCTTAGTTAGACATTTCCTCTAGGATGTTATATTGCCATCTTTTAGCCTTTTGCATTTTGCAAAGGAAAACATTTTTGTGAAAGAGCCAAAATTACCATTAGAGAATCATAGATTGTCAGAGTTAGAAGGACTTCAGAAATCTTCTAGGCCACCCCCTACCCCCTCATTATACAAACGAGGCTCTCAGAGGAACACTGATTGCTTAAGGTCACAAAGCAAATTAGTGGCAGACTTATAACATATGTTATATTTTATACCATATATTGCTATTTAACTTTCACATGTGAGTTAGAGGGCTTTACAATTAGATTGTATATTCCTTGAGAGCAAGAACCTTGTATTTTCCTTAATCTTGCCTCACAGTATTTAGGATAGTACTTAAGAAGTACTACAAGTGCTACAATATTGCAAACAAGGGCATATTGCATCTGGTTAAGAACATGAGCTCTGGAATCAAACTGCGTGGGTTCAGATCCTGGTTCTGTGACTATTAGATGTGTGGCCTTGGGCAAGTAATCTCCCTGTGCCACAGTTTTCTTATCTGTTACATGGGGATAATAATGGTGGATGAGAAGAATCGATGAGTTAACAAGACTACATCAGGACTTTCATGGGTCCTTGGCACTTTTGCCTTCATCGATCCCTTCCTCCAAAAAGAAATATTAAAAATTATATTTCACAACCGTATTGATATAAACATGAATATAATCCAGGCTGCAATTAGTATTATATGACGGTACTTCAAAAAGTTCATGGAAATTTGGATCCCCACACCAACCAGCTGCCAAAAAACAAACAAAAAACCCCAAAGTTCATGGAAAAATAGAATTAAAAGATAATATGAATCTTTCCATGAACTTTTTGAAGACCCTTCGTGTATGCATTATTATTTATTTTTTTCTCATTTTAAAATAATTTAAAATTAAGCCATTCTTGTGGGCCTCTGAAAGTATCATGGGGCCTAGTCACTGGGTCTAAAGGATGTCAGCCCTTCAGGTAAAGCTCTTGGAACACTACCTAGCACATTCTGAGTGTTGAGTAAACATCGGCTTTTCTTGTTACGGTAGCTGCTCAGTTTGGTGATTGATTGTTCACTGATCTAGGACTTGGAGTTTTTATTTAGATATTAGATTTGAGGCCCTTAGCCCTACATCATTTGGCTCCAGAACACATTAATGTGTGTGGTTTATAAACTTGTGTGGGAAAAAAGTTATTGGTCTGTGATTCCAAATGATTAGTAAAATCCTATTGCTCACTTTGGCAGTTGTGATTTCCCCTTGCACACTATCACTGAAGCCTTTGTATTTTGCAGATGGAGGAGGCCTTTTTGTCTGTGGCCTGAACAAAGATGGGCAACTGGGGCTCGGTCACACAGAGGATGTTCTGTATTTTACCCTCTGTAAATCCCTCCATGGCTGTCCCATCCAACAGGTGGCCTGTGGCTGGGATTTTACTATTATACTCACAGGTGAGTTCACACCTAGGTAAATCTTTATCAGCACAAAGGCTTTGGGTGAGAACAGCATGATGATGGTGACCACCGATTAAATGAAAGCCTCTTTGTGTTTACAAAACTCACACAAATGTTCTCTATGGTTGTCAAAGAAAGCTGGGGGTTCCTTTTACAAGGAGAATTTTTTTTTTTTTCCCTTTTTGTCTTTTTTCGTGTCCGGCAACGGATCACAACCCTCAGTGTCGCGCCCGTACCGGACCGGGACTGGCAACGGGATCGCAACCCTCGGCGTTGCTCCCACACCTCGCTCAGCCAGTGAGTGGGAACCAGTCTGTATGTGGGATCTGAACCCTCGGCGGGAGCGCCACCGCGCTCCCAAGTGGGGCACTGTAGCAGTGCGCCACTGGGCCGGCCCTACAAGGAGAATTTTAACAGTAAAGGGGATTGAGATTGGGCTGGAAAACTTTTGCCAGAGACTGGGGAATAGACTTTGGCACTTACTGTCCCAAAAGTTTATGACAACTGTGGGCTTGGGCTAGCTGGCCTGTAGTGCCAAATAAGGGTTACTCATGGGGAAAGTATGAGGAAATAGAGGTTTCCATAGCAATGATAGCAGCTTTTTCCCACTCAAGGATTTAAAAAAAAAAAAAAAAGGCAGCTGGGCAGAACTGTTTGGTCTCTATGAAGCCAGATAGCAGAATAGGATGTAGAGGGATATGGTCAAAGGGTTAGTAGAATAATGCTCTTGGAAGCAGCTGGCAGGATTTACTTTGTCAACTGACTTCTGTTGCCTTGAAGCAGTTTTGACCTTATTGTTCAGCTTTGCCCTGTCTAGCTGGCCATTCTTGTTTTAAGGGACCATCTATGGTTAGTGACCAGACTCCCTCTTTGTCAAAGTCCTCTGGCAAGTGCGTCTTGTGACCATGTCACTCTCCTGCCTCAAACCCTTGTGGGGTCTCATATGCATAGCTCAAATTCCAAGCTTTTTAGCACACGTCCCTCTATGACTTTCCTACCTATCTCTGTTGCCTTGTCTTTTCTTCTCTACACTCCTCATGCTTTTCTTTCTTGTAATACTAAAGAGTACATGCCCTTCTTTCTGCATAGAACAACTCCTCTTGTCTCTCTGATGAACTTTTATCCCAGCTCTCAGACCCTGCTCAGGTGTCACCATTTCTCTTCTGCAGAGGGGTTCTGCAATATGTGTATTTGATAGTACTCATTAGAATCTACATAATAGCCATCATTTATGAAATTCTTATTGTGGGCCTGAGATTGTGAGGATTCAATAGAGGTTGTAGGGATTTAATGAGTAGCATGCTATTTCCTGCTCACATTTGGAACCAATTGTGAGAAAGGCACAGAGCAGTCAGAGTTGGAGATCAAACTATTGGCTTTTTCACTGATAAAGGCTAAATTGGAGGACAGGGTTCATTGTGAGGCCAAATGGTTCTAACACTCCTTTGGTCCAAACTTACCCCCCAAACTCTAGGCCTTCCCCACAGGGGAAGCCCTTACTATGTGTCAGCCCAGAATGCCTGAGGGGAATGTGCCAAGCCATACATGTCCTGTCCCTTCTCCGAAACTCACCAATTTGTTAGGTGACCCCTTGTCTGCTAGAAAGCAGCGAGCATGGGGAAGGGCAGGGAGAAAGGCCTGGAGTGTTACAGCAGTGAAAATTCTGTCACATGGAAACATGAAAAGAGGGGAATAAGTATCCTCCCATCCCAATACTAGGCACCAAGCTAACTGTTCTACACAGATAATCTGTTGTTAATGAGATAATATAATAGATAATCTGCGTAGAACACTTAGCCGGGTGCCCAGTGTTTTCATTCCTAGAGGATTCAAAGCAGGGAGCGTGGTCTGAGTGCACTGAAGCACAGCATCTCTACCATCTCCTCTTATCCTTTTTGTACCGCTCACTCTTCAGCATTTACCCCTTGTTCACAGATCTCTTACTTCTTAGATGTGTAATGTATGTACTTGTATTTTGCAGAAAATGGTCAAGTTCTATCATGTGGATCCAACTCTTTTGGCCAATTAGGAGTTCCTCATGGGCCTCAAAGATGTGTGGTTCCCCAGGCCATTGAGGTGAGGACAGTTAATATTTAGCTTGCCCATGTCCTGTTACAGTGTTTTCAAGGCACTACGGTTTTCCTTACCCAGAGTAAAAGGCTGGCAGAGACCCTGAAGACTCATGGGGGTAGGAGAATTTGAGTTGAAAAATAAGTCCTTCTGGGAAAAATTAGGTTGGGGGGAATGGATGTTGTGAGTGAAAAACCTCTGTTAGTCCTCATATACATTATAATGTTTTGCGAAATAAAACAGTAAAGATAATACATCTCATAAGGACAGTAACTATATTTTACAATTCTAAAATTAGTAATAATGGGAACTATGTTAGAAACAGGTCCAGATAGGGGCCGGCCCGGTGGCGCACTGCTACAGTGCGCCGCTTGGGAGTGCGGCGGCGCTCCCGCCGAGGGTTTAGATCCCATATACAGACCGGCCGCTCACTGGCTGAGCGAGGTGCGGGTGCAACA